CCAGGACTGAGACAGGGGCCTGTGTGTTTATACAGTGTAACACAGACCAGGATTCTGATTGGATTGAGGAGTTTTGGTTCTGTGATGCTGAATTTCACCCAATCCTGTGGGATTGGGAGTGAGTGCCTGGTATGTGCTGCCTGTTTTCCCAGGGGAAGTTAGGGGAGTATCCCACAGTCGGGAGTACATACCGGCCCAGCAGTGTGTCAGGGTGCCCTGTAAAGATGCTGGGATCGACCACAAACCGTGTGTTATCAACAATGAGAACCACCCGCTCCGAGGCCATTCCCGATTTACTGCTGTCCTCCCTCATTGGATCCACCGAGCCTTTCATCATTCCAGTCTTCTGCCCCCAGTGGGCATTAGGCCATCTGTCCTTTTGGCAGGGGGGAGAGCCAGGCTGGAAAATGGGACAGCCCTGGTGATCCTGTGTCCTGTACATGGAAGAGGGGGAGCCTTTGCAAGGATGGGAGCTGGTGCTCTGACAGATCCGCCCCAGGCTGGGATCTAGTAGGAGAGAAGGTGGGAGTGGATTAGTTTGATACAATGGGATTCCTTCATCAGCAGGAGTGCAGATGATGCCGGAACTGACTGTCATTTTGGCTGCTGCCGGGATAGACTCGGGAATATCGGGAATGACAGCCTATCTTTGGAATCTAGTGACAGTCTACACCCAAGAGGATTTGGGGAGTGTTTATTTAGCAATGGTTTGGAAAGGCAGTGACAGGGGGTCCCCGGGGGGTCCGAGACTCCTTCTATCACCCTGTCAGGGTCAGAGAAAGGGGGTCTTGGTGGGGGGGGGCGGTGGGGTTATTAGGGGGAACAGGCAGATGGGGGGTGGGGTCTGTCATTGCGGGAATGGAGATTGAAGGTTGGCAATGTGGGGCGTAGGTGCTGTGGTTGGTGGGTAGGAGGAGGGAGTGGAGCATGAGGAGGGAGAGATAAACAGAATGTGTTGGGGAGGAGATGGAGAGAGGGATGGAGAAAGGAGGAGTAAGGGGGACTGAGGTAGTGTGGAGTGATGTCAGGGAGTGCAGTGAGGGAGAGAGGGAATGAGGGTGATAGGGTAGGGTGCAGTGAGAGAGAGAGGGAATGACGGAGAGAGGGAATGAGGGTGATCGGGCAGGGTGCAGTGAGGGAGAGAGGGTG